TAAAATCAAGCAAAAGTTCAGTCATAACATTTAATCATAACATTGCAAAATTAAGTCTTTTCTCAAATCAAATTTTAAAGTAATGCTTGTACAGAGACTATAGTTAAATTTAAAAAGAAATACTGACTTATTCTGAGCACTTATTCTCCTTGAGACAATATACTATATATTATACAAAGACTATGGTAGTTAAATTCTTCAAAAATGACTACAGCGGAAACTATTGCTGATCGTTGTTCAATTTAACAAGCATACAGACAAGATAACTCACATAAGCAGTCCTAGGACAACATATCAGAAGGATAAAGAGTGTATTTTTCAATTACGCTTTATGACTAAATAAATCTACTGTAGAAATAGTAAAAGCCAAACCTTGAACCGCAAGCGATTAGGAGTCTGATTTTGGATTGTGAGGAGTAAATTATTAATGTCGCCTCCAAACAGCGTAGGGGAAGGGATCCTGCTCAACTTGGCTTCCAAACCTTAAATAAAGGGGGGAGGCAGGTATATTTGAAATCATTCATGTATATTTAAAATACTAAGAATTTGTTTCATGATATTTTTATTATACTATGACAAATGAGTGTTTCTATATTTACTTTAGAAGATGTAAACATAAAAGATATAAACATAAAACATACAAAATAAAAAATTTGGGGGCAAATCCTTCTAGATTCTATTCAAGATATTCATTTCAAAGAAAATTTTAAAATAGATTCCCATGGTTCTCCTTGGGCTTTGGCCCTTTCCTGAGGAGGCTCTTGGACAGGCTCTGAGTAGCAGGCATAAGTTCACTAGATACCTCCCTGCCCACCCCCTTGCTCTGAGACCATCTCCAGTCCCTCTGTTCCAGAGCTCAGGCCTTCTCTACTAGCTAGTAAGAACTAACTCATTCTGTTCCTATTGAATTTCCTTTGACCTTGGCCCCATCCAGGTGAGGCTGCCAGGGGAGAGCTCATGAGTAGCCCAGGCAAGTGCACCTTTCACTCCTCATCAAAAAACCTACTTTTTGCAACAGATGGAGACTATTACAGAGTACCAGAACTGGTCAAACTAAGAAATAGCTTATCCCTGATAGGACACCTATTTAAAACCTTCCAAGGCTCAGGGATCATTGTGGAAGAGGAGGCAGAAAGAATGTAAGAGCCAGAGGGAAGGGATGACCACAGGAAATAGAGTCTTTCCAGAAAATTAGTCAGTTACTCATTTGAATTCTCAACAATGGTCACTGCATACACAAGTCCTATGCAAGTGCAAACTATACAAAATCCCAGCATAGAAATGGGCAAGTGGGTAAGAAACACCAACCATACCTAAAAAACTTCCAGCAATTACATGGCTGTTAGGAGGGAGAAAGACAATGTCCTACATGAATAGGACTTTTAATGGGCCCAGTGGATGGTACCACACTGAAGAACATTTGGGGACACAAATCAGATTTCTAGGCCATATCATATATACATGTATATATGTTAAATGGTGTGGGATACAGTGAGGAGAGCTACAGAGGGAGGAGTGGATCTAAATACCATCAAACTATATTCTATGAAAAGCACAAAAACTTGGGTATGGAGAAATGGCTTAGCTCTTAACAGAACTGGTTGCTGCTCTTGCAGAGGACCAGGGTTCAGTTTCCAGCACCCACATGGCGATAACAACCTTCCCTAACTCCAGTTACAGGGGATCCTATGCCCGCCCTCTTTTGACCTCCGTTGTGCACATGGGTGCAATTATATGCATTCAGGCAATACATTCATACGCATAAAATAAAAATAATCAAATATTTTCAAAAAACAAAATCCCAAAAAAATCAATAAAAATAAATGTTTAAAGAATTAAGAACATATCATAGTGAATTTTCGTGACAGAACACTCTTTACCAGTATCTGTTGTTGTTAGTCCCTCAGAATTATAGCCATGGTTATCTACGAAGAAGCACCAAGGAATGACAGTGCTGTTCCATGGACTCCAACAACAGCCGCGGGCCGCACACTGAGCCTGGTAAAATGGTTTTAGTGGATAACATGATTAGTACTATAATCTAATGGACAAGTCTGTTTTACCAGTAAATGAATGTTTAAAAAAATAAGTTTATTTCTTCAACCTTGTAATGCTTAGAAATATCCGTTGTTCTTTGATTCCTTTCATTTGTAAATATAAACTTTGACGCATTCAATTATTATAGCACATCAGAAATTAATGCTATGAAGTGTGATTTTTTCCAAGCACATCATTTAAGTTTACATATTTCAAGGTTCCTGACCTCAGTAATTATATTTCCCTCTATCATCATGAGGCTAACGAAGAAAAAAATGAAACATTTCTTTCATCATACTTAGGTACCAAGTTGCAGGCAAAACTACACAATCTAGATTTAGTTCAAGCGCATATAATGTTTTGCAGTACAAACTAGGCCATACACCTGGGACCTTGTACATGTTACGTCACTGCTGGACCACTGAACTGCATCCTCAGCCTCAATTTTTTAAATTGATTTTATTTTTATTGAAATATTCTCAAATTTCATACATTATATTCTGGTCATGTTTGGACCAAATTCCCCTGTTCCTGCTAATTCATTGTATTTCAGAGAGATATTTTCACCTATCAACTCTTCATTTTACGACTTGGATCTATTTTAAATAGCCACAAAAAGCTACTGTAATTCAGAGAATATAACAGAATTTTGACTATTCAAAGATCTTGCTAACTCCGTGAAAAGATCATGTAAAGCAGAAAAGGTTCTAAATGCATACATAAAATGCTGAGCAGCGTTGTGAAGCGGTGAATTTCAACAGTGTACTGAGCATCTGCATAATGATAGCATTTAATATATGACATATTTTCATAATTTGAACAGCCATAGAGTTTTTGTGGCTCTTTTTCATAAAAATGAATTTTTAAATACTACATTTTAATCAACTGAGCGTATATGCATTAAACTCGCCTATTTTCACACCAGATTAAAATGGTTGTCTATGTATAAAAACACATATTTACACATTGCGAACAAGAGTGCAGTCCTTCCCTAGAAGGTTGGTAGCTATCATAGCCTCAAGTATGACTTCTACTTGTGCAGGTTTACTAATCTAACATATTGAAAGGTCTTCAACAGCACAAAGACGTGTTCTACAAAAGCTGTCATTCCTAACAGTCATTCTGTGTTTTGACATTTTAGTTCATGCAAAAAGTTAAGCATAATATAATATGGAAGATGTAAAGCCTGTTTAGAAAACAAAAAAGAAACATATTATAAACGCATTTTGACAAAGTAAAAAGCTAGCAAAGAAGACATTAAATTTCTCAAAATGCACTAGGTTGCTTAGTTTCTTCTGGCTCCCATGCATAACCTTGAAAAAAGAGTGTCTTAGAGCCATAGAGGAATTCTTTCACAGCTCTGCAGGTTTGACACCCTAACTCCAGGTATCTGGGAAGACAAGCTTTCTTTGAGTGGTTAGGAGAAGAGTCTTCCCTTGAATTCCATGAGCTCCTGGTAGAGTTGACATTCTTTGACTCTAATTCTGTTTCCATCTTTAAATGGTATAATTCTCTCTCTGTTGCTTTATGTAGTGCTACGAAGTCCTTTTTTCAGGAGATTTTTTTTTAAATGTATGTATTGAGTTTTTGCATATTTCATATAATTGTTCTTAATCAAATTTAGACCCCTCCTCCATCCATGCCCCTGTAGCTCTTTCTTCATTGAATTTCATGCATTCTGTCATATATTAAGTTTTATCTGGTCAAATATTTATACCCAGATGTCTCTCAGTGCGAGTTTATCAGCCACTGCCTTAAAGAAGATCTACTCTCCCTCACCCAGCAGTTATCAGTTGCCAATAGTTCTTCAGCTAGTGTCGGGGCCTGCTGCCTATTTCACTCGTTCTATGCTGGATTTTTGTCTGATAGAGTCAGGATGGGTCTTGTGCATGTTGTCGCCATTGTGACAAGCAAACTATCTCTATTGGTGCAGTAATGGCACTTTTATCTAGTGAGTGATAAACAGCTATCTTATTGGACTTAAATCCCTCTCAGTGGGAGGGAACTCATGGGCAGCACTGTAAATATACATGGCTAGAGAAGTCATAGGTCTTAGAGAAAACCTTATCTCTGTCATATATCTAGACAAAATTTTTTACTACATGCCAAATATGGATCCTTATATTTACAGACAAGTACACCATATGCCACTCATAAGAAAAGGTCTTTTGACAACAGATGGAGGCTATTACAGAGTTCCACAACTGGTCACACATAGAGAATATATATTGAAAGATGCCGAGTTCTAAGTGACCCATCTACAGTGGAACCTTGTCACCGAAGGCTCATGGAACATTATGGAACAGGGGGTGGAGAGACTGCTGCTGTACCTCTTAGTTTTCAACAGCACAGCTTCCTCATGCAACAAAACAAGATGCACACTGACGGCCACAACATGTGACTGCAGAGCACATGTCCCTGGATAGAACTCTATATTAAACCTCACCTACCCAGCATTCCGGGACTGTAGAAGAGAGGGCAGAATATACTGTAAGAGCCAGGGATGGTGCATGAAAATAAGGAAACAGGCTTTCAGGCCACTGGGAATTTGCTCAAAAGTTCCTTTTTTAAATAAGGCCTGATTTTGAGACTCTGAGTTCATACAAATGCTTGGAGGCATCTTTTAATTCACTGCATATGTATGCCAAAGTACTAGTCTAAGAATAATATTGATTCTAAATTTTTATTTATTTCAGATTATTTATGGAGATCTAATGTTTCTTTTGTGTGTTATCTGTTTTCCACATTATTCAATACTTTAAGAATTTTCCAAGGCTAAACTTTAATTCCAGTGCTCAGGAGGCAGAAAAAGGCAGACCTCTGAGTTCAAGGCAATGATGCTGATCTACATAACTAGTTCCAGGAAAAAAATGGCTCTGCAGTTAGATCTATCTCAAAAAAAGAAAATTCCACTGTTTTCACTTCTCTAATGTCATGGTTCTATCAGAGATTTTTTTTTTTTTTGAAAAATCACAAAGTTAAGAAACATTGAGTATCCATTAATAGGCATAATTTTATTAAACTCTCATAAGTAAAATTGCAATAAATTTCTCACATCATTTTGTTATGTGGACTTGAGTAGTTATAGTATAGACTATAATAAAATTGTACCAATAGAGTTATATAGAAATAGGATATAGTAAATTGCAAGTTCCTTCAATAGCATTAAGTGAAATTGTGTGCTCCAAAAATCATATAAAGTCTTACCTTCCCCCACCACCACATTACCATATTTGGAGAGAGGGCATCTGAGGAAGAATATCAGGCTAAAATAAGGTCAGGGCATGGAATGCAAGAATATCAGTGTCCTCACAAAGAGATTACTTTCCCTCTAGTGTCCACATTGAAATATTGTTATGTGACGATGGCAAATAATCACCATCTACAGAGTCAGGAATAAAGCCTTTCTAGAAATCAATTCAGATATATATATTTTATCTTTAGCTCAGATGTGCAGCCTCCAAAGCTGTGAGAAATAAGTGTGAATAATGCAAATCCATGGTTTATGTCATAGTATACAAAGCTGACTAAACATTGAGTGGGAATGATGCGGTTGTTGTTTTGACTCTTCCGTACTGTGTTATTATTGAGTAATAAGCATACATGCCTTTTGAATTAAAAATAAATCTGTACAAAAGATGTTCAATATGGTGTGTTCAAGTACTTTTAGTCGTGATCCATCTTCAGAGACATAAAACCCGAGGATTTTTAATAAAACTTAAGGAAACTAATGGAAAGCAGTCATTTTGTCTAATTCAATCTTATCCACCTTTTTGAGCTAAATAATATTTATTCAAATGCTTTCCTCATATTTAGAGTTTCAGGTATTTATATTAAAGAAATAAATCATTGTTTTAGGTTGTCAATTGAGATGGTGGAAAGATAAAATTTAATGTATGTTAAAGGCATTATTAGGAATATTGCCTTAAAATTATGTATTTATAAATAACATAAAAATCTGAGTGACAGAATTTGAATAAAAGTCACATTTGAAATGTATTCTCATTTAAACGGGAGAAGTAGAATGTATAGGGTAGCTTTATAATTTAGAGCACATTTTATTTTTCATTAATTATTTACTTTAGTCAACTTTTTACTGTAAAAGATATTACCTTGCAAAAATCTTCTAATTAATGAAAATTACAAGACCCTGATTAGTGAATCATGGCTACTGAGTTCATGGAGCATGAGCTAAGGTTGAACTTTGCACACAGCACTAATTTCAGCTTTGCTCTGAGCTTGAAGAATTACTTTGACATATTCATTTGGCCTTAACAAACTATTTGAGTTCCCAGATAAATCTAAAATTCAGTTAGTGAGAGTTCATTAAAATCAGAATCTTATTTAAATTATTTTTGATAAATTTGAATTTCTCTTGTTAAAAATCAAGAAAACTTCCATTCCTTCCCCTCACCTGCCCTCCCTTCTATTTCCCCTCCTCCCCACTCAGTTCTTTTTGCTTTTTCTGTTGAATCAAGCCCAAATCTTCATTGTCTGACATTGAACTGCCTCCCAGGTGTATATAGAGACGCTTGCTTTTTTGCCCAGGCTAGCCTAGGACTTGTGGTCTTGCTACATCAGATTCCCAACAGGCTGGGATTGCAGGCTGGTAGTGCCACATACAGCCCGCTTTCTCTTCACGAACAGCAAGTATAAACATATTTGCTGAAGAAGACTTTGCTTACTTCATGAGCTTAATTTATCTCACACAAAAAATATTCTTCAGCAAAATAATAGGTTCAATTGACAATAAAAACTAAGAGGAGGTGTCAAAGCTAAATCACATGTTTACAAATGTTGCTTTCCTAGAAGAGTAATTTGTTCCTCATAGATTCAGCATTGATTTTCCATCATTTTTTGAGAAGAATGGCACTTAGAAGACATTTTGTTTCCTCTGGCAGGGTAAACACAAGGCTATCCAGCTGTTTCATCAGAGGCTAAGCTATAGGATCAAATACTAGCAATTCCTTGAAGAATTCTCATCTATTGGCATAGTTTGCAGAAACTTAATCAGGAAAGTATGTGTTAATCATGTTGTAGGAAAAGGTTTATTAGAAATTTTATAAGTGATTTCGTGTGATTAAAGTGAGATTTAAACCTGAAGAGCCTGACAAGTCCGGAGATGCAAAGTGCACACTCATCTATGTTTATTTGCACACTGGTGGATTTAAAAGGCTGGATCAACTTATGGTTACATGAATCTAATCAGCTACATTTAATTCAGTACTAATTCTCTTTTAATTGCCATAAAATAAAAATATAATCTTTCGAAAGTGGTGTTTCCTTTTCTACAGATTCTTCTTAATGTTAGCACTACAAATAGGATAATTTTACATAGGCAGTTTCATGCATGTCCAGTGCTATAATAGATTGCACTGTAAGGTAGAGATAGAAGATAGACAGACCATGAAGGTTTATTTCAACAGTATTTTGTTAAGCATGGATGAATACTGACTTGTTAATTTGAAATGAACACAGGAACAGAGAAGCAAGTAACTTCAGTTCTCAAGTATTTATACAGTGGTATAAGAGGTGGCACATGACGTTCATGATTAGGTAATTAACAGTTTGGAATTATCCTGTACTGAGAAGTTATCTTCATAAAATGATGTATGTATTTTTTAAAGCATTAAGAGCAGTTTTGGCAGACCTGTGTTGGATGTTGTTCTGGAATGCAGTTAATTCTTTCATTGACAGGTTCATTTGGATCTGTGGGACATTTTCCAAGTCCTGAAGGATAAGCAGTGGTGGCTGGTGTTGAAGTTGGACTGGCTATTTCTGAAGAAAGAAGATAGTAATATTATGCTTACATATTTGTAAGCAGTGAGTATGCTGAGCAAACATATTCAATTTATATATATATATATATATTTAAGGTGGAATAATCTACTTTCATTTTTAAAGGCCTATAAATTCAGACCTGGTCATCAACATAAAAGATTTAATTATTTTTTTCAATACTCTATTCTTTGGTTTCTAGAAGTTAGGAGTGCTGACTACTTGGTGAGCTGTCAGTAACTGGATGATGATAAAAGTGACAGGAATTTCTAACTAGTGTTTGACCAGAGCACAGAGTAGAGCATCCTCTTCAATCCTTATTTGGTCAAGAGAGAATAGTGAAGAAACAGGAGATTTGGTGTTCCATGCTAGTGTGCAGCAACTCTGCATTAAGATAGAAGAAACTCATTAAACACCTGAAGCCTTCAGTCACCTTCTATGTTTTTACTTTGTCAAACAACCACCACCACAAAAATCTGAGCCAAGACAAAGAGAATATTGCCCCCCCAAAACCATGTGCTGTGCAAACTCCTGAAAACCTTAGCTTTCTCACTGGTGAGAGTAGTTTCACTAGCAACAGCAGGCACATTACTCCATCCTATGTTAACATCTTCCCTTCTTTGCACCACTTCTCATTGAGTAGCACAAGGTGGGAAGACTATTAATACCAACGCACATGAATTCCTTAATGACAGTAGCTTTTGTTTGTAATTACGAGGGTATAGTGCATAGAAAAAGTTGGAGTAACTGTGAAATTTGTACTAAGTTCTTTTTCACATTTCCTATCATTTCTCATAGTTTACTGTTTTGTGTTTTATTATATTTTTATTAATTTCTTTGGGGGGCGGTATTTACACACCAGAACATGCATATGGATGGCCAAGGATAACTTACAGGAGTCAGTTCTCTCCTAACATCTCACAGTCACCAATATGTTTTTTTAATCTGTAACTGTTATGAAGTAACTCTCCCTTGACTTCAGTCCAATGTTTCAGAAATTTTAGCAACACTTACCTTCAACAGCAGGTGTCTTCGTTGCTAAAACTATAACTAGAGCAATAGCTATTATAGTTACTATAATGAAGAGGACAATCAGAAAGATTTCTAGTCCACTAAATTTCCTCCTTGCCATCTGAGGAAAGAAAAGAATTTGTATTTAAACTTAGAATATTTAATGACAATAAAACCACAATTATTTATAAAATTATGTATATACATACATACATTAGTTTCTGAACTGAAAGTAGAGTTTCAGATAATTTACCATTCTGTAATCTAAAATTGTATAATAATAAAATGTAAGCAATACACACAACATTGATGAAAGGAGTAAATTAATGATGTGCACTGTATATCACTCTAAGATGACAAACAGAAAGAAAAGTTTTCTCCAAGCTGTGGTATGTTGTGTCTTGCCTCTCATTTTAAGATATCTTTCTAGTTCCTTAATCTTTACACCTGCACTGTTTCTCTATTTTCACAGTTGTCTGTCCTTCTTTGTTGTAAGATAGAATGTTCCTTGTATCCTAGACTGACGACCTGGACTTTCTCCTCCCTCAGGCTTCTCTAGTGCTTGAAATACAAGCAGGTACTATCACTGAAATTTGCAACTTCCTATTCCATGATAGAGATAGTATTGTTCACAATTTGATCCCAATAAGCCAGTGACAAGGATGGTACTTTTCGCCTTTCAAAGGAAAGTGAAGATGAATATGTTTATGATACTGCCCTTCTTTAACATAGAAAGTCAGAAGAAAGTTCACATACCAAAATTAAGCTATTCTGGAGTACTCAAAAACTACAAGGACTAAAATTATTCATTTCTCAAGATGACAATTACAAGGATTATTTTTCAGATCATAGTCATTTCAAGCAATATTTTATGGGGAAATTATAAGCTGCTAACCATTTTTTATGTGACTAATATTTTATTTGATGACTGATTTATAAAATTCTGTTAGCAATCATGAAATATTTTATAAATCTAGCATTCCATTCTGTCTATATAGATTTCCCTAAATACACTCAAAATACTTGGAGTATCCAGTATTTTCCAAAACTATTGTTCAGTTCTATTTTGCATTATAAAATATGTAGACAAAAGCCAGGTGTGGTGGTGCATGTCTTTAATCCCAGCACTCAGAGGCAGAGGCAGGTGCAGAGGCAGAAGGATCTCTATGAAATGGAGAACAGCTTGTTCTACATAGATTGTTCCAGGACAGCTGGGGCTACAGGGAGGTAATCTCGAAAAACCCTCCCCACCAAAATATTTAAACAAAACTGAGAGTTTACTTAGACAAATAACTTATTCTTAAATCTCATAAAATATGAATGTGCTCTCTACTTTTAGAACAAACAATATACATAAAATGACAAGTTAAAGCTATCCTATTTTGCTAATTTAAGTAAATACAAAATAGAAATATTCCTAATTTGACCAATGAATAGCATATTTGTTTAGAAACATGAAGGTAGTGTTGCAGTAGGATCGAGACTTACCTTGTTGCATAGCCTGTTCTGTTTGCTATGTTATATTGGAGTTGGGCAAGGCTGTTAAAGTGATGATCAGAGAAAATTGCTCAGGTATATATTGACCTACTCATAAACTTTTATTGCACCTGCACTAGCCTATTAATATTTAATATACTTCTGCTCAACATGTAACTGCTAAAGCCTTAACCCTGAAAGTAGTTTTTATAAATATTCCTCCCTGAGATTCCACGTTAATTAATAACTGTGCTTTTAGATAGCCTTCGACTTCCAGATGCTAAGAACATCATAACAACATAAAATAAGTTTTGTAATTTGACTTTCTTCTTTAGAAAATTTATATTTCTTTCAACATTTGAACATAATTTTAAGAACCTTTATCTCATTTCATGACATTTAAATTCAGCAAGAGAAACAGAAACATACTCAAAAGCTATAAATTGTAAAATAGCCTCAGGAACCAACAATTAACAGATAATCTTTCACTGTCAACAGCCAAGCCTGGAACAAGTACTTTAAATCACAAATCATGATTATATATGGCAAGACAGGAACGGTCCAAGAAGATGCCTAGAACCATGTGAAATGACGCAAGAGGAAGCCCAGATCTGCACTCTGCCATCCTTGGTGTTGAAGCTGTAAGTTCTTATTTTTTTTCCTATATGATTTTGTTCATCCTAATGCTTGCTTTTCACTGTATAGAGCAATAATTTAAAACAAATACATTTTAGGGAATACAATAAAATATTTCACTGTAAAATAGTAATGATTAAATAAGAGGTAATAGTGTCTTACTATCAAAAGGCTGCAGAATGGACCAATTTTTAAAAATATATCATAAAAAGCTAGCTTTGTGGATAGAAATAAACTAATAAAAATATAAAATAAAGTAATAAAATAATAAAATATCATAATAAAGTCAAAATAAGATCTATTTTTATTTATAATACCAATTTAATTTTCTAAAATCATATTTCAAACACTTCTCAATTCATATTATTAAATGTATTGAATCAATTGTACTGCTACTTGAAGCTAGTATGATTTGAGAGCAAAGGACATGATAAAAGTGATCTATTCTGCCCCAAAAATCAATGGACATGCAATAAAAGACCTGTATGACTGAATTGCTATGAGACTCAGGAGAGAGATGTGGAACTTTTATTTGCAAGGGAATAAGATAAGAATCATTCTCAAATGGTCTCTATGAGCAGAAAATGAAGTTCAACGCAAACAGGACTCCTGGTGATTAATTCTCTAATCAGACTATGTCAATATATGTGGAAACTACTATCAGCTTTCCACAAATCCCTAGGAAACTAGATGTGAATGTAACCAGGTCAGAGAATATAAGGCCAGTACATAACACCCATCAAGTTTCTATATACCAGTGATGATTTGGTATCTAAAAATACACACAGATAGGAATATAAATAGAAAGGTAATTCAGAATAACAAAAAAAGAATCATTGAGTATAAATCTTATCAAAATATATGCAAAAACTCTATTCCGAAACTCATACTGTTAATGAAAGAGGATCCAAAGAAATATCATTTTTATGTCCTGGAAAATTCAGTATTATTAGACTGTTAATTCTACAAAAGTCAGTTATACACTTTCCTTAATAAAAACATTTGCATTCATTCTTCAAGAATTTTATATCATGCATTTTGAAAATATTAAACCCTCTGCCCCATACCTTTAAGATCCACCAGCTCCTACCTACCACCACTTCACTTCATGTCCTACTTTTTTAAAGACTTATTGAGTATAATTTGTGTTTCCTAAATATTCTTGGTATGGGTCTAGTCCCTGGAGCCTGGTCAACCTCCCAGACTTCACACCTTTAAAGACAACTGATCCTATTTCTCTCAGCAGCTATCAATTGCCAATAGTTCCACAGTTAGGGCTGGGGCTTCTTGGCTACCTCATCCCATCCATGCTGAAATTTTGTCTGGCTTAGGCTCATTCAAGTCTTGTGCTTGTCAGTAGGAATAAGTTTAATAGTATATCTATTCAGCATAATAATATTAGGCTCTCCCCTAAGGCCTGTGACCTGTCTAGCCACAGGTTCCTAAGCCTTGGTATCAATGGCACATGTGGGCTCCATCTGGAGACTTGGACCCAAATTTCAGTCAGAAGCTGGTTGATTCTGTATGTTGGCTACTTGTGACCCACAACTAAATAGCCATTTGCTGCAAGAGAAGCTTCTCCAGTAAAAGTTGAGACATGCATTGATTTACAGGTATAACAGTTATTAAGTGTCAATCTACTACTATGGCCATTTATCAGGATGATAGTCAAAGGATCTCCCTTATGGCCTATGACCTATCTAGCCACAGGTCCTTGGCCCTGATAAATGGGCCCCATTTTGTCAAGTTGAACTTAGATCCAGTTGGAAAGTGGTTGGTTAGTCACATAACATTCATGCCACTATTGCACCAATGGGTTTATCTTTCCAGGCCAATCATTATTGTAGTTTTCAGGGATCACATCTTGGTGAGACTGATGAATACTTTTTCCTTATGGTAGCAGGCATAGCACATTCTAGTACTATGAATGCTAAAAAGTAGAGATGAATCTTCAAGTTCATTACCAGTTTTATTTCTCCATGTTTGTTCTATGACTCACATATGTAATATCTTCAACAACAGGTTCACACCTCCAAGTATGGAGAGCAATAACAATGGCAATAGCCAGTATTGTTTGAGGTCTATGGGACCTCCCTGGTCAACAGCTTCAAATGAGGCACCACGTTAATGACATCGGCCTTTTCAATTGCTAACCTGTGGTGTCTGGTAAGGGCATTGCCCACACCCCCTCACCATTATAGGACAACTCTTTAAACTCTTTTTACATATGCAAATGAATATATTTTAAGAAATGTCTACTGCAGTAGGTTTCCATATGACATTTTAAAGAGGCCTTTCATGTCAATTATCCCTTTCCATTCTCCGGCCTCTACCCTGCATCCCATTTTCCACCTCATTTACCTCACCTACCCATCATTCTGTTTTCCCCTTATATCTCTGCATTCCATGATTCTTCCCAGGAAGACTTTCCCATGGACCCTAATTAGTTCCTCACATCCATGTGTTTTCCAGTTGAAGTACACATATCCAAAGATTTAAGCTAACATCCACATATGAGATAGAACATGTGATGCTGTCTTTCTGTGTCTGGGTTATCTCACCCATGATGACTGTTTCCAGTTCCATTCACTTGTCCATGAATATCCTAATTTCATTTTTCTAAACAACTGAATAACATTTTATAATTGTACCATGTTTTCAATATTAATTTATCAGATGATGAACATCTAGGTTGTTTCCATTCCCAAATATTGTGACTAGAGCAACAATGAACATGTATGAGTAGATATAAAATCCACAAAGTAGATATAGATGACACAGCTGTTGATATTGTATCAGCATTTTTCTATAACAACTTGAGTCATAATTTCCTTAAAATGGAAACAGTTAATCCTGCTTCTCCATACAATGATAAATTACTAAGCAACAAAATTTTACAAAGTATTAATGCAGGCAATAACATGAATAGTCCTAAAATTCAAGAAAATTCACCAGCAATTTTAATTCTCTGAGATCAAGAAAACTAGTTCTTTACAGTTTGTCCATTTT